GGATTCAGATGAGAGAAATAAGACACATAATTAAAGGAGAACTTAAGGGGTAATGAACTAAGGCTGGCGAAGATAAAGACCATTATATAGTAATGAAGCTGTGATAAGAGTCTATTATAACACCAAAAATAATAGACTAAATTTAATTCTACTTAAACAAATGGCTTTCACTTTGGTTATGACCACTTATTTAAGTATTATGAATAATAAAATAATCATGTACAATTTGAATGTAACACATCACCTTTGGGCAGAAGTGAAACATTTAAATTTTAATGCACATATATATTTAGTTCGCAGTACACAATTATAACACATCATCTTTGGACAGAAGTGAAATATTATGTATTTAAGGCGAGTGTCATGCAAATATCTATTTAAGGATATGCACTAAATGACAATGCTTAATAAGACTTGAAATTTTTTTTACAAATGTTACACATCACCTTTGGGCAGAAGTGTACTCTAAGGTATTATTCAAGTCAAGCAAAATAAATCAATATAACTAATCATAAAATAAATTTTATTTGAGATTAGTCAAATGATTTATAAATTTAATGTTAGTAATTAATTAACCGAAAAAATTATAGCGGTTCGGGGCAGGGCTACAAAAATTGGGGACCCATTAAGATTAATTTAATTAGAAAATCAAAGGCATATAAGGCAAGAGATTTTCCAACAAGTACAAAAATTAATTTTTTTTAATGGTATTTTAGCATATCCCTTATTTAGTTTTGCTATTCTTGGTAAGATAAATTAATAAATAAGGAAACAGAATATATTATGCAAAAGTGAGATATGCCATAAAATTTAAGGAAATAGAATTATGTTCCAAATCAAATACCAAAAAAGATGATTTCATCAAAGTAAGGATGAACAATAACATGAATAATCTATTTATGCGTATTTGCTGGAATCAAAAACATTAAGCAATAGGTTTTTTTTTAACTCACTCGAATGGAATCCAAAGTATAAAAAAACAATTGATTTTGAGGGCTTAGTCCGATTTTGAGATGTAAACAACATTTTTTTTCTTAATGTTTATTATGGAAATCATGAAGCTCAAAACCAATTTACGTTAGGTTTAAAAGAACTGATGCGATTTCAATTCCAGTTTTAGGGAAATGGAAAAATTGAATAATCAACATATACGCTCCGATACCACATGTTGATCAATTCTTAAACATAAAATACGTAGTACAAATTAGGGATTAAATCATGTGTACCTGATAATCCTGTAAACGTGGTTAGGGATGAGGCCATGATTCTCACGCAGATCGAGTTCCCGTTTAGGGTGTATCGTTATGATGACTAAGGTGAGGATGAGACTCACGAGAATAGAGAGGCTGAGAGAAGGCGTAAGATTGGTGTGTTCTGATCTCTGCCTAATGACCTCTATATATACACCCAAGGGGAAACCCTAATTAGGTCATAAGGGTAATTACGTCCATCGAATAATTACCAATTAAGTACGTAGGGTATTTATTAGGTCAATGATCAATTAATTAGATAAATGATAACTCAGGCCACATAATAAAATCGTGTCTAACAGTTTTTGCTGGTTGCCTGCCTATCTATGTATTGTTTCTGAACAACCGAAGGCAATAGTAGATGAAGGCTTGTGGGACAACCTAGTGAACTTGTGCCTCGTCTGTATGGGGATGCTTGCCAAATACCTGGGGGGCACTCTGGCCGTAGACCTAGGGGAGGGGTTTGTATGGCAGGGTGAGGTCACTTTAGTGTTAAGTTGTCCTCCTCGACGATGGTGGACAACTTCTGCTAGTCGGGGTGTGGCCCTTGGCATGCCGGTGGTATCTATGGCAAGGATAACATAACTCTTGCTTCTGTTGGATGCAACCATGGATGAAGAACTTTGGACCGACTTTTGAAGTAGCTTTGCGGTTCACCTGTGTGAATTTATGTGATACCTGATCCTTGAGAGGGAGTACGTATGGTTGGAGTTTGATTGTGCCACCAATATATACTCCCTCCTTGCTCTTGCTTTGCCTACCGTATTATTGCCGTTGATGGTGCAGGGTACTGGAAGCTGGAAATGGATTCCGCAAGAGCTTGGATGTGCTGGATTACACTGTTGATTTGTTTCTGGATATTTATTTTGTACGGCCTGTGTGCCAACTTTGTATTGTTGTTTGTTTGTTACCTATTTGGGCTTGTTCTTGTAACTGTCTTATACATGCATGGAACCATTTTTATGGTTCAGCATTTGACATTGATGTACCATTCTGATTAGGGTAATAATAATTTACATTTTACCCCATGAACGTAGAAATGACCTATATGAACATTCTAGTCATTAGATATATCTACGGGCTTACCTCGAAGCGTAATGGAGGTTTGAATATTTTCCGGAGAAACTTCCGGCGAGGATTACTCTCAGCTCCGGCGACTTCACACGAATTTGACAGCAACAATGAACTCTCTACTTCACCAAGAACACAATGATACTAATTCTAAGGAGATTGGTGAAGAAATGAGAAGAATGGAGTTTCTTATATATAGCAAGAGGAAGAGGAAGAAGGCATGGGAAGCTGAGTTGCTGCTACGTAGGATTTCCAATTCACAATCTTCATTCGGCGATAAAGAGATTCAACACGTTACTCCCTGATTGGGACTAATTTGGTCCCAGTCGGGGTACACTTTTTGGTCCAACTTTCTCCGAATTGAATTCCGTTTGCACCGTTGCGATAGGACAGTTTAACTCTATCCAACGACATAATTTTTATATTTATTCGTTGTACTTTTTTTGACATCATATTTTTGGTGTTTGACTTTGACAGAGTCAAAATTGATTTGTTTGACCTTTACTCAGAAAGGTGCTCATACTAAATTCATATTATTTATTCTCATGATTTATTTCAATAAATCATTTCAAAGTTTACATCATAAACACATTATTCATTTATTCCTGTTGATTTTGGGTCTGTACTCAGGTTCCCAACCAAGATTACACAATTAGTCAACATATTGGATTTATTTCTATGAGACTTATCCTGATTGTAATATTGGATATCAAACACATATTATTTTGGCCCAAAGCCCAACAATAATTTATTTTAATCAAAAAATTTGATTAATTGAATAAGTATCCATTAATAATTCTAGGCTATGTTTTGGGGCGTTACATGCATGATGGTTTAATTGGTTATTATATATTATCTTTCTTATTATATTCTAAATATGATTTGGATATGCCTTGAACAAATATAGTAAATTCAGATTAATATTCTAATAAATATGAACATGTAGAGATGTTTTAGAGAAATGATTAGGCTACCTGGAGATACTCTAAGACTGCTCTAGTGTGATTGTAAGTATAAATGTCAATAAGTAAAATCAACCTTCCAGATCTGATATTTGATAGCCGCAGGTTAAAACATACGTAAGGGATCCACAAACTGTCATTCCGAAGGGGACAGGGGTACCACCCACGCAGCGGAGAACTTCTTCGTTGGTAAAGTCGTGTTGTATTAAAAAATGGTGTGTCTATGTCTGTTGTTAATAAATAGCCTTAGTGTAATGAAATTGGGCAAGGATCTAGGACAAACACACTCGGCATTGGAAAATATAGAAAATAAGGGAATAAAATAAAAGTGAGATAATATCCGCCATACCTCAGAGAAAGGGATAATGATTTCTTCTCCACACCTTAAAGAAGGTGATAAGATACTCTTTTCACAACAAGGAAGTTGATAAGAGAAAACATTTCCATAAAGAAGGTGATAAGATACTCTTTGTGGCGAGGTTTTCTCTTATCAAATTCCTTGTGGCGAAAAGAGTTTCTTATCATCTTCTTTAAGGTGTGGCGAAGCAATCCTTATCACCTTCTCTGAGGTGCAGCGCATATTTTCCCTCTTTTATAAAAGACTAATTTTAGAACTTACTCTAAGTTTAGATAATGAAAAATATTAAAATACCCTCCATTGAACATCCAATTATCATTCCTTTTTTAATAGAGTACCACCGAGTGAATACATTTCAATTATGAAGTACTGCAAAGGCAATTAATGTTTAATTAGGATTGGTTTGAGAAAATACCTTATTAGAAAGAAGTATTTTGGGATTACTCACAAAATTTATAAATTATAAATAAGTAACTAAAACACGAAAATCTTTAATATTTTATTTAAGACTATATTTTCTAAGAGAATGATATGTGTCATTGTTATGTACCACAATTTTGGACATATTAGATAATATGTATACTATGAGGTTGGCTCAAACTTATTCTTAAAAATAAATTTACTAGAATGTTTGTTTATGGTAAGACTAAGTCCTTGTTCTTTTGAGTTGGAAAATTTAACTTCCTACTTCTTTCAAATCCTTTTAGTTCGTTTCACCTCCTTCCAGTTTCTTCCAACAATGACTTAAAAATGATATTTATATATGATTAATATTGAATAATTTCATCTATCTAAATTTATAATATATCACCTCAAACACAACAAGGATGAATTCTTTTTTTTCCAAGACTAGATTTTTCTAACATATTTATTTGGGTAATAATTTAATTGAGTAATTTTTCAACACTTTAAATGTTCCCGCACTTTCCTACCTCTTCCAGTTTCTTCCAACCTCTAACTCTTAAATTCCAATCCAAAAGAAAAAAAATCCTTATTATGATATGAAATTAAAGCATTTCTATCCAAATATAAACTAATTTCAAATTGTATGACATACAACATTTCGTTTATATATAAAAATTAGATTTCAAAGTCTAAAAAGTCGACACGTGGCATTGCTTATATGATACTTTTTGACACATAATGTTACACCTAATTTGTGATATCGAAAATAAAAATAGTAATAGTTCGGGAGAAATCATAAATTTAATTATGGAAAAGAGATCTTTTTTATTATAATATTCTTACCTAATTTTGATTTTTTCCCCTCATTCATAACAAAACCTTCACATAATATATACTCCTTTCGTCCTATATTGATCTTTTCACTTTCTTTTTTCTCCGTCCTAAAATTATCTTCTCACATCTTAAAAAAGGTAGGTAAATGCCTTTAATACCCTCAAGTTCCACTATATATTTCTCTTCCATGTGTTCGACCCTTTTCTCCCTTTCTTTCTCTTTCTCCGTTCTCCCTCCTCTCCATCTTCTCATTTTCCCTTTCTTGTCTTTCTTCTTTCTCCCGTTTTACCGTTCCATTGACACAACAATTGGAGGTGGATCTGACGAAATCAATGGCGGATCTACAGTAGTGATGGCGGATCTAACGAAATCAGTGGCGGATCCCTAGGTAACAATCTGTGGATTCAACGGAAGATCGAACGAGATTGATAGTGGATCTGAAGTGATGATGCCGATTCCATCAATGGTGGATCTACACGACGGATCGATATTGGTTTGACAATTCCATTGCATGCTCTCTTTGGATTTCATCAATTTAGCAAGTTATTTTTGTATTTGCTTTTGTTTTTGTTGTGGTGATGCGGCGCAAAAAGAATTCGTAGATATAGATGTTGATTTCGGCAAATTGACGGTTGGTTGTTTTAGCTTTTGATTTTGTTCTTGTTTCTAGGTTTTCTTTTTTATGAGTGTTTTTGTTCATAGATCTCTGTTTTTTTGGTGAAAGTTGGTTCCTAGATCTGATTGGAAATGAGACAGGTTGAGAATGACGATGAAAGACTAGGGGTATTTTTGGAAGGTCAAAGCATTTTTTTCACAAGCTTAAAAATGAGCTCCAGTCAAAGTTGGAAGATCAATATAGGACGGAGGGAGTAAGATAATCTCTTCACCTCTAAATAAATTTCATATCTGTTTATGATACATTTAAAAGAAGTTAGTTTCTATTATTTAAAAACTACACTAAATTTTAGCAAATAAGACATGATTGAACTACAAAGTTATTAAAATAAAGAAAATAATAATAGATATAATTTGATAATTCGATCGAGTATATTGATTTTATGGTTTGATTTAAGTACTAGACTATTTATGATTTTTAGTTCTAAGATAATTTATTATATACTTTAAAAATACATTATTTTAAGTATTTATTATTATATGACATTTTTAATTACATTATAGAATACAAATGCTCAAAAAAATAACTCACCGTGACTTTTTATTTCTACCCTAACATTCTTTACGATTTTACCATCATTGGGAGATTTTAATTATGAAATATAGATCTTCATTTTTCTTAGAATATTCTTTCTTAATATTTTATAATTTGTCACTTCTACTATAATAGTAATAATACGTTGAATAAGTTTCATATTTTTGATGATATGTTGAAACAAAGTTAGTGTTTATTTTATATATTTTATTATTTATGCATAATAAAAAATATAAAATATATTTTAATCTCTACATTAAAAATCTATAAAACAAGATACGGCTTGACTATTTTTTAATGAGCAAATATTTAAACCAAATAAATTAGAAGAAAAGATTTAATATGAAGTTTTCACTTTATCATGGTAATTTGATGTACTATTTTAATCAAAATAAGTTTGTACTGTAACTTATGATTTTTCTAAGTGTAACTTATCATTTATAAACTTATATTGTGTAATAATTTACTATATATATCTATGCATGATATTGAATGAGAGGACTCAGTTCTTACGTTTTCTTTTACGCAATCATCCATAGAATCTTTATAGGATAATATTCCTAGACACGAAGAGAGACAATACAGATTTATGCAAAGAAGATTGTTGTTGAAATATCGGAATGATGATATTGCTCCTTGAATTATGAAGTACATGATAGAGTATATATATAGGAGACACTCCTAACACAACTAGAAATAGAGAATGGAAACTAACTAACATACAACATCTACCACAGATAGGATTAGGAAGCTGACTAATAATGAAACACTATCATAACCAATACTACAAGAAGTACTATTATTATTATTGTCTAACATTCCCCCCTCAAGCTGAACTCTGGCTGAAGCAAGAGGAAGCTTGGACACTAACTGGAAACTTTGAGAAGAGAGAAGGCTGACATGCGCCGGTGGCTGCTGACGTCGTTGGAGAAGAGAGAAGTCTGACGTGCACTGGTAGCTGCTAACGTCGTTGGAAAAGAGAGAAATTGACTTGCGCTAGTAGCTGCTAACGTCGATGAAGATGAGAGAAGGTTGACGTGCGCTTGTAGCTGCTGACGTCGAAGAAGAATAGAGAAGGCTACTGGAGGTGCTTGTTTGACTGAAGATCCTTGACATTTTTGGTCTTTTTCTTGGATCCGGGCAATGCCCTATTTCCTTCTTGAAGGGGTGAGTTATAGAGGTCTTATTTCCTCTTTCACTACTTCCCCTCTTGGCTTTGCTTTTGTGTTGATTTACTTTGGATTTTTATTCGTTCAACAGAAGAGAAAGAGAAGGAAGGTTGATGATTAGAATGAGTGATTTTAGAGAGAAAAAGTAGGTTAAGAATTGGTGATGGAAAAAAAAAATTGGGTCTGAGATTTTGATATGGTGAATTGAAGAGAAACAACAATCTTTTTTTTCCTTTTTTTTGAGAAGATAGGATGATCTGAGAGAGTTTGTGAGGAGTTGGTTATTTTTTGAAGAACCATGGAGATAACAAGAGAGAAGTTCCTCCTTTGATAGTTTTTTTGTGTGATTTCAACAGGGGTTTTTTTTTCTTTTTTTTTCCATTTGAATGGAGAAATTGATTTGAGGATAAAGAAGAAAAAGAAAATAGAGGTGAATAGGGTGGAGCCGTCGTCGCCGGAATTACCGGCGGCGGCGGTGGGAGCAAAGAACTCTTTTAGGTCACCAAGAGCGGTGGCTCTGATACCATATTGAAATATTGGAATAATAATATTGCTCCCTTGAATTATGAAGTACATGATAGAACATATATAGAAGACACTCCTAACACAACTAGGAATAGAGAATGAAGACTTACTAAAATACAACAACTAGAACAAATAGGATTAGAAAGCTAACTAATAATGAAAGACTACCACAACAAATACTACCACAAGTAATACTATTATGATTGTCTAACATCCCCTATCAAGTTGAACTCTGGCTGAAGCAAGAGGAAGTTTGGAGACTAGCTAGAAACTGGAAACTTTGAGAAGAGAGAAGTCTGACGTGCGCCGGTGGTTGCTAACGTCATTAGAAAAGAGAGAGGTCGGACGTGCGCCGATGGCTGCTCACATCGTTCGAGAATAGAGAAGTCTGACGTGCGCTGGTAGCTGCTCGCGTTTTTGAAGAAGAGAGAAAGGGTTGATGTGCGCTTGTAGCTGCTGCTGACGTCAAAGATGAACAGAGAAAGCTATTGTAGGTGTATGTTTGATTGAAAATCCTTGACATTCTTTGTCTTTCTTTTGGATCCGGGTAATGCCCTATTTCTTTTCTCAATTGTGAAAATTTTTATGACTTTCTTGGAAGAGTGAGTTATCGAGGTAATTATTCCTCTTTCTCTATTCCCCCTCTTAGCTTTGCTTTTGTGTTGATTTACTTTGGATTTTTTAATTTGGTTCAACCAAAGAGAAAGAGAAGGGAGATTAACGATTAGAATATAAGTGATTTGAGAGAGAAAAAAAAGATGGATTAAGATTTTGTGATGGAGAAAAGATCTAGATCTGAGATTCTTATATGGTGAACTGGAGAGATACAACAATCATTTTTTTTGCCTAGATTTTGAGAAGATAAGAAGATGAGGTAAGAGAGTTTTTGAGGAGTTGCTGATTTGAAAAATTGAAGAAAGACATCAGCTCAAGGGTAAATGAGATACAGGCTTAGACGACAGTTGAGCGGTTGTGGATTTTGAGGGCATTCCCTTCAACGGTTTTTGGAAGAACCATGGAGACGATAAGAGGGAAGCTCCTCCTTTGATAGCTTTTTTTTGTGATTTTAACACGGGAATTTTTTATCTTTTTCTTTTTTTTGTTGAATGGAGAAGCTAATTTGAGGATAAAAGAAGGAAAAAAAATATAGGTGAATAGGTGGAGCCACTGTCGCAGGAATTACTGGCGGCGGCGACGGAAGCAAAGAACTTTTTTTTGGGTCACCAAGAGCGATGACTCCGATACCATTTTGAAATATTGAAATAATAATGTTGAACCCTATCATACAACATCTACCACAGATAGGATTAGGAAGCTGACTAATAATGAAACACTATCATAACCAATACTACAAGAAGTACTATTAGTATTATTGTCTAACAATTGTGATAAAGATGATCATCAAGGTGTGGGGGGAGCGTAAGAAGATCTGTCACAATGAATATCTAGAATCTAGATGCAAGGATAATCAATAAAGTAAAAAAAAATTTGCATAAGATCTAAAGCGCAAAAATTAATAAGATCAAGACTTAAGTACAACCACATCAAAGAGAAATATAATTTTCAATTTGTAATTATTTTTGTTTTGATAAGACATTTTGTATATTGACCAAAATATTGTCATGAGCTTGAATAATTTTATATTTTTAAAAAAACAAAAAGGAATAAAAAATTACTAAATAGTTTTGTAAATATCCCTTAGAGAAATCAACCAAAATAGGAGTAAAATAGTGTCTTTATTATCAAAATATGATTGACATATTTTTCTCCTCAATATAATACTAAAACATTATAATAATGTGACACTGTATATAAGAGTTTCATTGTAATTTTTGATATTATATGTTAGCATTCTTATTGTTAAGATAAAAACATGAATATTTTATTTTAGTTATTTTCCTATATTGTTATCATATATTAATCTTTTACCATTTCCGTTCAGAATCATTGGATCGTTATTATTTTTGTATAATTGTTTTTTAAAATTAATGAGGGGGAGAAGAATAATTGAAATTTAATTGTTTTCAAACTAATATTTTTAATCATAGAGTCATAAGATCGCTAATCTAAAATTTTATTTTTTAATAATGCAAGAAAGAAGAATCAGTTTTTGTAATCAATGCTCGGGGGTCATATTTTTGGCTAATCTTAGTTAATGTGGGTGATAAAAATCATCCTTATTTAATCATAGAATTATAAGATCAATTATTCAGTTTTTTTTCGAATTAATGTGATGGAAAAGAATAATAAGAAAACCCCCTAAATAGGAGTAAAACATGTATCATATCCTCAAAATAAGAGTTCAAACTTAAACTCTCCTAAATAGTAGTAATTAATTAAATATAAATTTTGATTTATCTCTTAGCTAGCCGCACAAACAAGTTGGGTGCACACCCCAAGTTGGGCGCACAAACCAATTTGGACTCTCAATACTCATTAAACAAAATTGTGGCAAAAGGCAGAGTTACTTGATATTTATCCATTTTTGACATTATGCATTAATATCTGTGATATTGAACATTATACATTGATATATCTTTCATTATACATTACCAGGAATGATATTATACAATGTCAAGGTTGGCATTATCTATTTAATTTGTTTAGCATTATACATTCACATGCATGACTTTATACATTGGCATGATTGCCATTATATGATTACATGTGATATTTAATGTGGTCTTTTTTTACACTGTATAGACATTTTAATTTAGCAATTTACTACGTTTCTATAAGTAAGGTATTGATTTATTTTTTGTTGATAAAGTTTTGGGTGTGTTTTGTTATTGAATTAATTTTGTTTACGTTCAAATTTGTTATTTTTTTAGCATTATGCATTCGCATGTATGACTTTATACATTGGCATGATTGTCATTATATGATTACATGTGACATTTGACGTGATTTTTTTTGACACTGTATGTACATTTTAATTTAGAAATTTACAAAGTTCTTATATGTAGGTATTGATTCATTTTTGTTGATGAAGTTTAGGGTGTGTTTTATTATTGAATTAATTTTGTTCACATTCAAATTTGTTATTTTTTTGTTGATTCAGTTTAGTTAATGATTCAATAACAATTTACTATAAATCAAGATGACTGAACGAGAGTTCTTGCCAACAAAACGGCAGCATGGAAAGTTTTTCTTTAATAATCATACAATTGATTTGGGCGGTAGTTTGTGGAACTACTTGGTAAAGCAAGGGCAATGTTCACATGGTCATTATGTTACAACATTATGTTTTCATGGAAGAGTTGAAGAGGCACTAGAGTCTTCTAAGCAAATGATAAGTTGTTAAAATAAATTAAATTACATTTTTGACATTACTGACTTTTTCCTAATTTCTAGAGTTGTCGGAGGTTGAGACTTAGATGCTTTTAGTGTATGAGTGTGTAAAACAGTATGAAAATTTATAGTTTTAAAAAAAATTAAATAAAGGGGAAATTGCATGGAAGAGGGGCAGTGAAAGTCCTAATTGGAAACAAAGGATTTGAAAATTCATGCATAAGGCGGCTTAGAACAGTGCTCCGAACTCCGAGATTGAAAATTCAGCACATGTACGAATAAGGAGTTTTGAAATTTAGTCATTATTTAGTTTTGGGATATGCATGAGTCATTGTTTTTGGAGTAAAAAGATTAGAGTCATTGTTAAGTTAATTATTCCTATTTAGGGGAATTTAAGTTTCTACTCCTATTTTGGAATATGACAACTCTTTTACTCCTACTTTGATCCATCTCCCAAGAATAATAGGATCACTAATGCATTTTGTATTAATTTATCCAAATTCAGTAAACCTACATCATTTATATTTGTCATTTAAATTATATGCCCCATGAAAAAGGCAAGTCATTTTTATAACCCATATTACAAAATCGGATGGCAATCCAAATGGAAAACAACGCCCCTTTATAGGAACACAGTCGTGCACAGAAGGTTGAACTCCTACCTTGACGTTATCCATACTTGAAATAATATCTTCGTACCCACATTGATGCAGTGTTCCTGTTTTACACAAACTATTTACATGAACTCCTGCCTTGACGTTATCCATACCTTATGACTATATTATTTTATCAAATGACTAACGAAAATAGAAAAAAAAATGAATGAAGTTTAGCTCTGTAAATAATAAACAGTTAATTTAATTTGAGACGGAGGGAGTATACGCTAGGGATCCTTTGGCTTTTACAATATGTGTTCTTGTTGAGGAGATTATCTCATCCATTCTCTTGATTCTTGCAACGAGTAAAATGTTTTGATCTTTTAATTGCTAGAAGCTACATACATTAGGATACATCAAGGCATAATGTACTAAAATTGACCTCCACAAGCATAGAGTCAAGATCACACAAAATAAAATGTTACAAAGTCTGAGTGTACATATATATATATTTACATCTCAGTCTGTGCAGAGGCAGTTTTAGAAAGCTAAGACTAAACAGCAGCTTTATGTTTTCAGTCTTATCCCCTTGCAGACAACACATCTAACTGCTTAACCTGCCTAGATGAAGAATCCGGCGGTCTAGACACTTTGGTAAGAGTTTGGGTGTAGAGGACATCTTCTTGCCTTGGTGGATAGTCCAAAGAATGATGTTCCTTGAAACCAGCTTGCTGCATTCGCATTAATGCTAGCACACTAAATGCAACCAGAGCAGCATTTCCTAGAATCCCACCCGCAAGATCGAGCCTAAGGGACTTCTTTACAAAATCGAAACTAGAAAAGAGAACATTGAGAAGAATATTTGAGCACTTCCCTTTGGTTTCTACGGAATTCTCACCAGGGGACCTGGGTGCAGAACCAAAAAGGCTCTCGGGGGAAACAAAATCTCTCTCCTCATGAACATCTCCAACCAATTCTTGAGCTTCTTCAATGAACTTGTACTTTTTGCCTCTATGATCGGCCAATCTCATTGCAAGTATAACACGGCTCTGCTCCAAGCGAGCAAGTGCATCATCTTTTTCCACTCGTTGCTGTGCTTGCATGTTCTGAAAAATGGGATACTCACATAGTCCATAAAGTTTGCAAGAATAACAAAACCATAATTAAATGAAATATTTAGTTAATTTTCACTATTAACTTTTTTTATTGGAACATAATATTTGAACTATAACATAACTCAACCGCTTATCAAACACAACAGCAACAAGTTCTATAACCCTGGGAGAGAAAGACAGGTTTTCATGTTACACTGTTACAGTATTGCAAAAGAAAATCCTAAGAAATATCACGAGTCCCCAATCTCAATTGTTCCACCATGGGTGAAAGTTGAGCACTGAACTAAATAATTAAGTTCAGAATATCATCTTCATATAAACCAATCTCTCAATTATAAAAATTAAAACAATGCTGCAACATCATCATGCAATCTTTTACCTTTCCTGATTGTACCCACAGAGTACTTAGTGCTTTCATATATCTATATGGTCCACTGAACTGGTAATTAAGAGATTGTACTCACAGAGTACTTAATGCCTTCATATATCTATATGGTCCACTGAACTGGTAATTAAGAAGCAGGGTTTCAAATACCATGCATGAAATTCTTGTTAATTGTCACTCACTCACACACTCCAAAGTACGGTTATACAATGAACACAATATAGTAGATAGACCTGGCAAATCGGTCGGTAAGGTCGGGTTCGGGTTCGGTTAAGTTCGGGTTCGGGTTGATAACTACATGTTCATGACCCAGTGTCATCGGGTTCGGGTTGACCCAACGGGTTATGAGTTTCATTTATTTTTTTGAAATTTTAAGTAATTTTTATGACTTAGTGTCAATATTACGAATAAAAAAATTAAATATGTAGAAATTTTGAAAAAATGTAAGATAAGTATGCGACATCATTAGAATTTGTTATGATGCTATAAATTTATACACAAAAAATGAGTAGTAAGCAAAGAAATATAATCATAATCTTATTTTTATAACACTATATTTCATATTAAAATGTATGATTCTGAAAAAATCTTAGATTAGTGGGTCGGTCAGGTCGGGTTCGGGTTCGGTCAGGTTTGACCCATTTTTAGCGGGTCATTTCGGGTTCGGTCAACTTCGGGTTCGGTCAGCAAAACCTTTGTTTAAAACCCAGTATTTTCGGGTCGGGTCTCGGGTCAAAAACAGGTCGGGTCATTTTTTGCCAGGTCTAATAGTAGATAAATAACAAATTGATAGAAGAATAGCAAATGTTTGTAATTAATTGACAACCAAAACTTTCATCAAAATACTTTCGACTTTTCCCATTCCATGAACATAAATAGAAAATCTTGATAGATATACAGCTTAGATTGTTGTTGGTACAAGCTTACCATATAGTGATACAGTACACTATTTAGAAAAATCACTATTCCATGGAAGATGACTTCAGATTTTGGATAAACCTAAATCAGCAACCAATGCAGGGCTATTCTCAAGAAAAACGTTCTTCCTAATTTTTAAGCTTCATTTTTTTTTTTTGGAAATCACAAATTACATACTATTGCTACATAAGAATCTGACCAGTCTTCTACTCCTTCCGTCCTAAAACGTTCTTCCCACTATGCACACGGTCAAACTTTAATACTTTCTTTACCTATTTTCGTTGGATATTTGATAAAATAATACCCGGAGTATAGTTTTGTCACCTCTTGTTTTGTGGAACTTTTGATGTAAATTTTAAATATATAAATTTTACACATACAATTGAATAAATTGAATTGAAAACAATGTCGGTCAAACCTCGTAAACAGAAACTGGAAAAAACGTTTTAGGATAGGATGGAGGGAGTATATGGTATTAAATTTGTTCAAACCGACACTATAAGGAGGATCATTGCACTTGGTAAGGCCAAGTTGAAAAACTAAAAACATTGACAGTAAAACAGGACGACTAAATCACTAAGAGTATGAGTGACGACTCTAATTTCTAATTTGAACCAGTAATCAAAAGACGTATAAGTAGAGACTCACATGGAATAATTCGAGTTGGTCCTCCAGATTTTCGAGGGCGGTACGGATAGCATTAAGACTTATAGCTTCCTGAACAGACGGAGACTCATCATCCTCTTCGAGCGTAAATCCCTTAATGAAAACGAACCCAGCCGGCTTGTTTTTTTTCCGTCCGGCGCTCTGGTCGGAGCCGGGACCGGTTCCCTTCTGTGAACTGTGGTGGTAGTAGAAATCGTCGGGGTGGCGAGGCTTGCTGACGAAACTCCTCAGGAAGTGATCTCTGGAGATGGAATGGATGGCGTCGCTGAGCTTGTCGTGCAAATCCCAAATTTTCCCCAGCACGGCTTCAAGATCTTTCTCTTCATCGATTTCCATTTCCCATTTCATAGAGAAACAATGAAACACTTTCTTCTACCGTTACTAAGAACTAGGGTTTAGAAAGGTAAAATTTATACTCCCACAACAAACTTTTCATTTTAATTTTTTAAAGATGTAAGAGCATGCATTTTGATATTTACTTTCCGAAACATACTTTTTGATGTGACGGATAAAGTATGATGTGATAGAGAAAAAGTGTAATGTGATAGCTGGTTAAAAATTACTCTATTAGAAATAAAAGTGATTTTTTAATAGAAAAAGGAAAGAGTTTTTTAGGATGGATGAAATAAGAGGAAAATGGTTTTGTGGGACGGAGGAAGTACTAAATAAGAACCAAAACATAAGTCATTTTCCAATGTAAGACATAAACTTTTTTATTTTCTAAATAGTACTTAATAATATCTATTGGGAGGAATAATATCCCGTGAGGGTAGACATAAACTTGAATAATGACTAATGGATAGTGAGTAATGCTCTCACATTGGAAAATAAAATTCCCTTTAGAAAGTGACCAAAAATACTCTCAGAAAACACTTATCTTGCATGTTTTTTGTGTTTATCAAAATATTTTCTTTTTTGATTAAAATGGTTAATATATCCAAATAAAGTCATTCCAATATATTACATCCATTTTGTGTTGGTATAATAATAGGGTGTTTGGCAGTGTGTTGTTTTTAATAATTTAGCTTCTGCTTTGAGTAGAAGTGATTTTACTCTGTTTGGCATGTCAACTTCTGTTTTTCACCACCACTATTTTGTACATAGAACACCATTTCGGAGAAGCGGGTATGAGGTGCTTTTGCTTTTATCTTTTGTGGAAATCATTTTATCCATAAGTTAATCACTCTCAAACACTCTCTAAGTGTTTTAAGTGATTTGTCACTCTCTTTTTTCAATGTTAATGATTTAATTAGAAAGTCAAATCATAAAATTAAATCCTGCAAAAGTCAAAACATGAACTGTTTTGAAGAACAGAGGGAGTAAGTACAATACCGAACCATAATAGGATTAAATGCTTTCCTCAGTTTTTTTATGGAATGTACTTGTAACGCCCCAAAACATACCCTATAATTATTAATGAATAATAATTCGATTAATCAAATTTTTTTTTATTAGAATAAATTATTGTTAGGCTTTGGCCGAAATGAAATATTTTTTGATAGCCAATATCACAATCACGATAAATCTCATTAAGATAAATCCAAAATGTTGACTTATTGTGTGACCTTGATTTGGAACTTGAGTACGTGCTCAAATTAAGAATAAATGAAGAATTTGTTTATAATGTAAACTTTGAGATGATTTATTAAAATAAATAATGAGAATAAGTAATGTGAATTAAATGAAAGAACACTTTTTGAATAAAGGTCAACTGTATCAATTTTGACTCTATCAAAGTCAAACACACAAAAATAAGATGTTAGAAAAAGTATTACAAATAAATATAAAAATTATATCGTTGGATAGAGTTTAACTGTCTAAGCGCTAGGGGTGAGCAATTTAACCGAACCGACCGATTAACCGATACACTTTAACCGAACCGACCCCAATTTTAAATTCGGTTTCAGTTTTCGGTTTTAATCTAAAAAATATTCGGTTAAGCAATTACATACGTTGCTATTATATCATTTAAAATGTATTTGATTTTTCAATATTTTTTATTTAGCATTCATAACTATTTTTTAAAATTGTCTATTTGTTTTGTTCTTTTAGATTTGTCCAAACTCAAGTTGGATCCCGTTATTGATGCTTAGAGATGTGAAGACATTGAGATCTTGATTTTGGTAATCCGGTAATGTTTTGGTAATCCCGTTATTTTATTAATTATAATTCTCATACTTTCCAATTTCACTGGATTGTATGTTAAGACTTTTTTCTTTAGAAGTACAGATTGATGGTGATGGGTGACATCCAGTTCTACGGAATTGAGCCGCGAAGTCATGGGAGCATTTTCAGTTTATTATTATTTTGAACTTTTTAAAGCTCTCATTGGTTTGTTATCAATATTATTGTTGGCTTTTATTACTCATTTTGGGGTTCTATTTTTGTTTGTTTAAATATTCTTTTTGACCCCTGAGAGATAATATGTTTTTGTCATTTTGGAGCTATTATAATATGTGTTTGTTATTACTTTCCTTTAAAAAATTTGAGAAATATTTCAATATTTGCAGTAGGCAGTAGGTTTTTTGATTGAAAATTTTGGTTTTTTCAAACTGACCGAACCTGATCGGTTTTTACTCGGTTCGGTTTGTTCGGTTCTCGCTTTAATTCGGTTCGGTTGGTTTTTATGGGTAGTTTTAATTTTCGGTTTTTTCGGTTTTGGGCCGAAACCGACCGAACTGAACCGATGCTCACCCCTACTAAGCGCAACGGTGCAAACAAAATTCAATTCGGAGAAAGTTGTACCAAGAAGTGTACCCCGACTAGGACCAAATTAGTCACAATCAGAGAGTGGCGTGTAAAATCCTTCAAATTGCCACTGAATCCACTAAGCCCGATAGTGAATCGTCAATGACTCAGCAAGAATTGGCAGCTTCTTCTGCTTCCTACTATATAAGAAGACCTTCATATCCCATTCCTACACCAAATTATTCCTTTATTCTTCCATTTCGTCCCTAGGAGTGTGGAGAACAGAGTGGTACTGTCCAGAGAGCATGAGGTCGCTGGAGGAAGCTGTAGTGTTCGCTAGAAAATTTCCAAAATCTTCTTTTAAGCTCGAGGTAAGCCTGTAGATATATCTAGTGACTAGAATGTTCTTATGGATCGTTTCTACGTTCATAAACGATCTTTTGGTCGAGTTTTGTGTTTGACATGTTTGAAGAACCAAGAATCATAAACTATGAATTAATGATTGTAAAATTTGTTCCATATAGGAGTCAAACATGTGTGTTTTCCCTAAATAGGACTTCTACCTTTTTTTCTTAAATATGATTTATTTTTGTTCGTGCACCCATTTTTACCCCTCCCGTACGGAAAACACTGTAGTTATTCCTTTTTTTATTTATTATTTGATTTGCAGATTTACAGGATTATGATTAATAACTTCTCCCACCTTTTAGCCATTATCCCTTCAATTGCGCAGCATTTTCTGTAACTCCCGCTGGATTAGGTTTTTACGCCCAAGCAGAGTCGGCCGCCACCAAGTTTCTTCGCGCCATCACAGTAGCGTAACACCATGTTTGCTTCATTGCTTGCGTCGTATCGTCAATACCGGCAAACATCCATTGTCTATTGCAATTTGACAGAGAATGGGGCGGTCATGGTGTCTTCTCCTACACACATGCATATGAGATCGACATTCCGCTTCAGTCATCATTCGCCGATTTGCTGGAGGTCATTCGTAATACGGTACCATCGTCTTATGAAAATTCAGTTTTTAAGATTTCGCATATGTCTGATTCATGTTCAAGTCATGTTGTGATTGACGACGATACGAGCCTTTACGCATACATTCGGTTGAAGAGCATTCACTGTGGTATACGCGAATTCCCTTTGTGTGTTGAAATAGGTAATTTTTTAGAAACTGTCGCTTCTAAAGGAGGTTTAGTCCTTTCGGAGTTACAACAGCCTCTTCTTTGTCATCATTCCGTCTCCAATTCAAGCGGCTACGAAGATACAGAATCAGATGGGTCTCTCTCTGATTTTGAAGCAAACAGAACCTTGTGCATTTGGGACGAAGGTGATATACCATCACAAATGTGATTTTCCCCCGGTTTTGTACTCGACACATTTCGTGGAGATGAAATACCTGAGAATAATGTCCAAACTAACGAGCTTGATTGCAGCAACTACCTTCAATCCAACCCGTCTAGTTATGTAATGTCTTAGCAGGATATTGCAACAATGAAGGAGATGCACGTTACATCTCGGTTCGATCCAACTAGAATTGCTGTTGATGCCATTTAAGCCAGCAAAAAGGATCTGGATATCCATTTGAAGATGTTAGCAATTTCTAACCAGTTCCAGTACCGGATCCGAACCTCCAAAAATTCTTGTCTTCATGTTGTCTGTGTGGATTTTCCTCGTTGCACATGGGCTGTTCGGGCTGTGCGTTTACCAGGTGTTGAGATGTTCCAGATTTGTAGGTGCATTCTGCCTCCATTTTAAATCACTTTGCATTTGGTTTCTATAATGTCTATGTGATGTGTAATGATTTCCAGTTATTAATGCCCTTTTGTAGACTAATCAGGTCATTACGATCAATTATGTCACAAACTTCAGCTTTTTACTAACTAAGAATGACGTTCTAAGTCCGTATCCAATCCATGCTAATGACTCAAAAAATGCTATGTGTTAATGCTTTAATCTGATTACGTCCTAATAAGGACATTATGTTTTATTATTTATCAAACCTCAACTCTTTTTATAGACTAATCAGGACATTATGATCACTTATGTAACATACGTTAGCTCTTTTATTGACTTTGAATGAAAACATAGGTCTGTTTCCATTCTCTATTAATGACTGCGAAAAATGCTATCTGCTTAATGCCTTATTCTGATTACGTCATAATCAGGACATTATGTTTGCGTTACGTATCAAACCTCGGCTTTCTACAGACTTATCACGACATTATGATCCGTTAGCTAACAAACTTTAGCTTTTTACAGACTTAGAACGACGCCGTAGGTCTATTCCCAATCCATGTTAATGACTGAAAAATGCTATCTGTTAATGCCATAACATGTTACTGCCTTATTCAGGACATTATGCTCTTTTATGTACTAAACCTCAGTTGCTAACAGACTAATACATGTTCTTACCCTCACAAATTCTGCAAGTTAATCGTATCGTTCACGTGTTTTTTTCCCTAGGTAAAACCGTGAACATCAATGCCCCATCGATGCGCACCAAGGCAAAACACGTCAAGCTACGTATCACATTGTTGCAGAGCTTGTTAAACACAAATTTCGTGATGCAACAACGAAGCCATACCCCCCCCCCCCATTTTATTCTTTCCGACATGCGTAGGGAGCATGGAATTGCAATGACTTATAAGAAGGCGTGGTTTGCTAAAGAGAAAGCTCTGGAAATTTGTTTTGGGATAGTACAAGAATCATATGCTGCTTTGCCATCCATGTGTTTTATGCTCAATCACGCTAATCCCGGTTCTTTGATTAAACTCACTACTACGCCTGACCACTTGTTCAAGTACTTATTCATATCTCTTGCACCCTGGAGAGAAGGGTGGCCCTATTGTGTTCCAGTGCTAATCATTGATGGGTCATTTATGAAGTCATATTACAAAGGGACACTTTTAACTGCAGTTACACGGGATGGGAATAACCAAATATTCCCACTAGCTTTTGGTGTGTGTGATGCCGAGAACGATGCAAATTGGCGCTGGTTTCTATCAAGAGTTAAGCAACCTCTCAAGCACCGTCCTGTGGAATATATTGTCTCAGACAGGCATGATGGAGTTATTAAGGCAGTTAAATCTATTTTCCCTAAAGTGGGACACGGCCATTGCATATTCCACATATTTGGAAATATCAAGACTAATTTCCATGGCTCCGAAATGTCGTTATCATGGAAGTTTTATGGCGCTGCAAGGGCAGCTTCAGAAGCAGAGTGCGACCGATATTTGAAGTACTTGTGATGACCCCAGGATTATTGGATACCTTAAAGCAATCGGGAAAGAGAAGTGGGCCTGATCATGCTCGAATCAACGTTATTTTATAATGACCTCTAACCTTGCAGAGTCCATGAACGATGTTAATGTTGTCCCACGTGAATGCCGAATTTTACAACCTGTTGATTTTCTAATGGGCAGGACCCAACGGTGGTTCCACAAGCGTAGGGAATTGGCGAACTCAACGTCATCAACGTTAACAAAGTTCTACGAGTCGGAGCTTAATGAACTACATTCCGCTACAGCTGTTATGGAAGTAAGTTTTATTCTTTTATTCTTTTGTAATATTATTTTACATATTCTACAAAACTTAATTCGGTCATTATCGCCATTGTATTTCATACGTCAATATTACAATAAATGCTTTAACATGATCTAAATTTGGAGACATTAGGACCACATCTTTCGTCTATACTCTTGGCCATTATTAAATAAACTCTATTCATAAAACATATTTTTTTGGTCATTAATCATGGAACGCAGTGCGAAGTCAGTAAGTACACATATGCTATACATAACTTCAGGTCATTATCATAAGTCAGTATGTTACCAAATAATCGTTAACCATGCGTTCATGTTCTTTCATTTCCGGTCATTATTTAGTCTGAAATACATCATTACACATATTATGTTGGTCATTATCATATCACCTTCTGTTGATTTACGGTGTTGCTTTATTTTTCCAGATAAGGCCAGCTTGTGCTTTCGAGTTCCTTGTCCTTGACAAAAATGGGCGTTCGTTTGTGGTGAACTTTCAAAACAAGACGTGCACTTGCTACGAATTCCAGCTGCACCATTTTGTGTGTGTTCATGCAGTGGCTGCCACTCGTTGTCGAGGCGGTTTGTCTTGCTATGATTACGTTTCAACCTTTTACACCACCACTGCATGGAGAGCTACATATTTAGGAATCATACACCCCATCCCATCTAAAGAATCTTGCGTTGTTTCCGATGAGGTCGCACAGGTTGTCTGCCACCCACCATCATGTGACAAACGTCCCCCTAGGAAGGCCCAAGAAGCGTAGGATCCCGTCCAAAGGTGAACATGCTAAGCGCCAAACTTGCTCACGATGCAAATCTACAGGCCACAATAGGAAGACGTGCACTAATCCCATTACTTTAACTAGGGCATGACTCCATATTAAGACATTACCAAGAAATTTGTTTTTTAATTCGTTTATTTGTTTAGTCTAGTTTTACTGTTCTTTAATAGTATTACACATTATTAATTCATTTAACACACACATTTTAAATCATTTTGGTCATTTTTTATTCTAGCGGTTTGTCATTCCACCATTTACATTACGGATAGTTGCTTACATAACACCTAAGCATAATGGCTTCCTCACCATATGACCGTTTTTTTAATTAGCCAAGGAATGATTATTGTACATTTTCAATTAGTCCCTATTCAACTACATGTCAACCAACACTGTACATTATAGCTCCCGTTAGACATTATTAGGTAATATTTAAGAAATTTATAAATTACGTACTACAATATGACATTAATGTCCAGAAAACACCCTTTATGGACATTAATGGCATGTCTTCACATATGCGGAAAAAACCCAGTCCCTATCCTCTACTTGCTTCCCTAACTATCTATAAAACATTAAGAACAGTAATGAACAATACAATACTCAAATAAATATACTCAACTTTTGCATGCATTCCTAATGTGCATAGAACGTAAACACCACAACAATACTTTCGCCCAAATATGCAAAGTACTTCAATAAAAAAACCAAATCTCAATATTTTTCCAACCCTGCACGTCCATAACTTGCCAAATACCATCAACAAATCTATCAAAAAACAACCACCTAATTGGAATATCTAATTCAAAAAACAGATGTCTCAATAATACATGCATATTAGCCACAAAACATGTCTTTGAATGAGGGCATTATGCTCAAGTTTTAAAAAGTCTCTACACCTAGACGGCAGAGTATGCCAACAACTCCACTGTCATTTTCTTCCTGTATTCAGCGATTTCATGATCATCCATATCCCCCGCATCACACCCCATCATCAGAAATTCAGCCATCTTCACCACGAACATCCCACAACTTGACCTACGTCAATCCAAAATAAAACCAAAACATTATTCAACATGGAAAGCATAAAATATTACACAGCTCAAATTATATCATACTCGTCGTTCTATTGGGGGCAGCACGATCCAACTTCAACCGCTAGGACATCATCTCCTACTGGACCTTCCTCCCGTCCATCATACACGCCCAACTTATCCATTATCTTGGGAAGGAACATTTGGAGGCATGGCAGAAACGGGTGCAACTTCCTTTTTGAATCATTTCTCTTGATGCTCGAGTCATATGTCCTAATTAACTTCTGCTTAATGTCCAACACCAACAATGTCCAGTGGTTCCCCATATTCAGCGGCATGTATACAAAATCTACACTCTGCCACGGTCGACCATATTCCATCTTCCCTCCCATGATCGTGCTTCTTACTGTCTTATTACGCATTGTTTGCTCAATGGTTAGTTCCTTCTTCATATACCTCCCACATAATGTCTTCAACAATGCAAGAAATGGGGTGTCTGTTGTCGTGTATCGCTGCTCCAACCCAAACTCTACTCCCTTCATTCTAAGGTAGTAGAATATGACATCTAGGTGCTGCATTTAAAACCAAAACATGTGTATTAGTGTCATAGCACGCCAAGTTATGTTACGACCATACTACATTAATTCAATTAATGTTTACCGTATCTAAAAGCCATCCCCAGGGGAAAAAAATGTTGTAGTACCAGGTCTTTGTTAGCGTGTCTTCCTCGCCATAGTGAACCTTATACTCACTTGGGTCAAGCACATCCACCTGGGCCCAGTACTTGCGCCCCGATACCCTAAGGTGATTCTTTAAAAGTCCTTGATACATGAACTTCTCAACATTCATTATCTCCTCCTGAGCAGGCATCTCGTTCGGGTTTGATGGGAATGGACCCATGAACTCATCTTCATCCCCCCAAATCGCACTACACGAGCACTCTCCGTTCTCAGCCTTTTTGTTTTACGTCGCACTACTAAATCATCCGGAGTGAACCGGTATGGAAACTTCAAGGGCCTCTTTTGCTTTAACTTCAAATCCGGTGGTGCCTCACTCGCCATCGGTGCTTCATACACTTGTGAATCATTCAAAATTTTAACACTATGGGATAATGTGTACTATAATTCCTCATTAACGTAATGGCTAACGGTTATCAGTGATATTCAAGATTTATACACTACAAATATACCACAATTTGTGTACATGGTTCTTCGTTCACACTTCATCATCAGCTTCAGAATCCTTAACCTCTTCACACACGGGGCATGGCAAATCACAGCCAGTACCCGACCTCAACACCTGTCCATAAAACTTTTCGCGCATGATAAACATCGGTCATTCACATGTCTGTAAATTACATATTACAGCCAATACCTCATTCCATTTACCCTGCATATTTTAAATACGTTCCGTATCGACCATCTTTTATTAGGCTAAAATACGTTTACTGCACCACACATGTATTACAGGTCATTAAAACTATGGAAGTCAATATTTTTTACGCTACATTGTTACATTCTTTACCTTTGAAGTCATTAAGCGTGCATTCCTCTCTATGTGCATTGGTCATTATTACAGTAGGCACAACCATACTCATCTTTGGTCATTAACCTAAAACTTAAGACGAGAGACCTTAAGTCCACTGCCCTTACATCAGTCCCTTAATTTTGGTCATTAGCCATGCTTTTCCCAACCTTATGCGTATGGTCATTATTATTCTAGATGCCGTCTAGTACCTACACTTTACCTCATTTTAACAAGGTATTTGTAACGCCAGTTTTGTTCAGACAACACATGCACTCCCACTTACCAGTTCATTAATACAACAATCAAATTCTATGCAACAGGGACATTAACGTAACACTCAAACTCACCTCATCCTTTGGATTCTTTTCATTCTCATCCAGGTTCTCCTCGGTAGGGAAAAAAATTCCATTCGCGGGTAACTCCTGCAATGCCTTCATACATAACGCAAAGTTTAAAAGCATAGATATTGACAACAACTCATATCAGATTAAAGAATGTTAAAGCATTAACCTCTATTACTTGCGATGCGGTCTCGACATTGTCAGTGAATCCTGAAACATCTACTTCAATTTCCTACAAAGGTCATTATGTCAAATATGTATCAATTTATAGCCTTGTATTATTTGCATGCATAAAATGGGATTACTGTCAATTACTTACATTTTCCTGACCATTCATAGCAGAAGCAAACACTTCTACATTCATTGGTGATGCTTCTTTGGGTTCATCCACACCATTACATAGAACATCCTCAACAGCCACGTCCTTGCCCACTTCGCCCGACTGCATGCCGTCTTTAACCATATTCATCGAGCCCTTTTCGCACTCCTGATTGTCCACATTTTTCTCAGACTGTTTCCCCAGCCCCAATCTATGTAATGTCTTCAACCATCTACCCTCAACTTCTTGTGTACTAATGTCCTTCAACGTATCGTGAAGGTCATTACCACACGAACCCGGTTGGGTTCCAATCTCAGCTTCCACATTGAGATCCTCCTCCCAAACATCATCGACCACATCATGTTCTGTGGCATCATTCTTCTCCTGACTCTCAAATCCTAAATCAAAGCTAGGCATGTTGTTATCCTCTGTTCGTGAAGGTCATTACCACACGAACCCGGTTGGGTTCCAATCTCAGCTTCCACATTGAGATCCTCCTCCCAAACATCATCGGCCACATCATGTTCTGTGGCATCATTCTTCTCCTGACTCTCAAATCCTAAATCAAAGCTAGGCATGTTGTTATCCTCTGTTGTGCGCTTTTTACTCGTATGCCATCGCTTACCAATTCTCTTCCTCGATATATACCCATTCAGAAGACGGGTATGGGCATTTACTGCAATTCCCAACTTAGTAACTTCCATGCGCATCTTCAAGTTTCGCTTTTCCATAAGCACCAATGCTGTCATTATATCTCTCAAGGAAGGTTCATTCTCACGAGCGTCTCCCAAAACATTTTTCGCTTTCTTTGGTGTCCCTATTGGAGTACCGCTGCCTGACCTCTCTGTCTTCTTCTGCATCTTCTTCACATGTGCCCTCTTCCGAATCACAACCTTTCTTTTCTCCTTTCGCTGAACATTAATCTCCTCATGATTCATTGAGCCCTCACATCCCCAATGCAGCTTTCCTTTAATTTTTCTTCGACCAGCCCCATACACTTCATCGACGTGCTCACCACCGCCATTGTTACCCTTACCTTTCCTTGAATCTCCAACTGAGAATAACATTGCAATGTTCTCTATAACTTTCTCCGATGTCGTGGCAACCATCTCATTCCATTGAACACTTTCCTGCAGTGAATAAATTAATGTCAGTTACTTTCAAATTATACTAAAGCATTAACGTATCTGATTGGAAAGGAATCTGTTTCACCTCTTCCGTGCCGAAAATTGAAACCTCCAGGCGGTCATGCATTGGGCGCACCCCCGTCTCCCATCGTAATGCCCTTGGCCACAATCCGCTCCTGTTCTCTCCCACAACGCATATTCCATTTTCTTTCAAAGAAGGGAAAGTCTCAAACGCCCAAATCTGTAGTGGAAATAGGAAGACCGGAAACGTAAAACGGCAATGTTCTCCCGTGTTGAGTATTGATGAACATTTGCGTAAGCTTTCCACCATGTCATTCCACAGATGCTCCCCCCCACTAGAACTCATTGAATCGGTCGAGGTCGTCAACAAGATGCATGTACAGTGCTGGAATCTTTGTCAAACCTTGGTTACCCACCACATGGTTTACAATGATGTTCAGTAAAGCCAACTTTACAGCATCCAACCGTCCCCTATCTCTTCTATTCCCGATACCTTTGAACACATTTTCAACTTCTATACAGCTCACGCTCATTTTCCCATTGAAATACCTTGTGCTGATGTCGTTCGCCTTTTCCAAGTCAGTATCTTCAAACTCACTCTCCCTTCCAAACTTCAATGCAACCCAATAATCAACGCAAAATCCGTCTTCTTAAACTCGACTATCCTATCTCCAATGTGAAACTTTAGTCTATCTACCTCTCCACTCTTCTTAACGGGCTCCACATGATTTAAAGCTAATAAAATCAACAATTGACCATTAACCCACTTTATCTTCCCAAGTTTGAAGAAAATACCAAATGCAGAAGCCTTCAGTTCAGCCATCTTTGAAGCACTAACCACACCTTTAACAGTAGTTGAACCCACACAAACATTACAAAAACAAGTGACCTTAAGCCCTGTTTTCCCAACCAAAATCTCTTCATCACACAACCTTTTGTAGATCTGCATGTTGCAAATTATCCAACAAAACATCATAAACACACAAACCTCTCACTCAGAGATGCGCACATAAAAAAGGCATTAAGCACTAGTACCACATTAAGCACATTATAAACCAAATGCTTAACATACTAAGAAGTCATTAAACATCTATCCCAAGAATTAAAAACTTAAAAAATAAGTTTTAAAACCAGCAAGAAGTCTTTAAAATGCAGGTAAAACAAGTCATTAATCCTCAATCTAAACACTAGTAACTCTTTAGCCCTAACATCATGCCATCCATGGGCTCTACAAATTTAGCAGTAACAACCAATTGATCCACAAAAACAACATCTTCCATAAAAAGTCTGTAACACTAGATCCACATTAAGCACTTTACAAACCAAATTCTTAACATACTAATAAGTCATTAAACAACTATCCCAAGAATTTAAAACTTAAAAAAATGTTTTAAAACTATCAGAGGTCTTTAAACTGCAAGTAAAAAAACTTTAATCGTCATTCCAAACAGTAATAAGTCTTTAGCCCTATCATCATGCTATCTTTGGGCTCTACAAACACTACCAAGTCATTATATCCACTTCTTAAAACCTCTTAAACCTTACTCACTACCAAATTCCGTCAAATAATTTCCACAACCACAAACACTACAGTCAGGCAATTAGACATCCAAAAGTCTCGAAAATACATTCAATAAGAAGTCTTTAAAAGCCAGGCTTAATCACTAATTTTCGAAACACTTTAATGGCCACCAGTTGGAAACTTTATCCCTATTAAGTCTTTAACTACACCACTACAAAGTCTTTAAAATTCAGTCAATACCTAATTTCTTGACCTTCCTTCACAAGAAGCTAAAGTAGAAAATTAACGAATAGCAGTACAAGTCATTGCATCACCACAGACATTTTCACAAACAACACATGTGCACGGCTGTATACTTCCACCTCATTTCAGGCAATAGAACAGAAGAAAACACTATGAATTACACATTAAGAACTTACTTGCCCTGTGGTGGTTTTCACTAAATTCATGGTCTTTATTATTGGAATCTGGTAGCCATTTTCTTCACTGCACTGCTCCTCGTCGTCATGCCTTCTTCTCTTTGTCTTCAAATTGATAATGCCGTAACTACAATTGACGAAATCCTAGATCTATTCTACAATACGCAGACAAATCCGCATGCAGCAGAAGTAGAGACACACATGGAAACTCCCGCTGTGCAGCGTATCACCTACGACGTCTATTGCGCCTTGACTTTCGCGCTTCTCCGTAAAACAACGCATATTTTCCCTTTTGTTTATTTTCAAGACTAATTTGGAGGACATACAAGTCTTTTTACCCTGTGCCACGTGGACGAAAATAGGACTACTCCTATTTTGGGAAAAGGGCCCTCTTTTGGTCCTATTTGAGTAATTTACTCTTAATGATTCCAAAATGATATATGAATCTTGGAGAACATTTCTATATAATTTAATTAAAGTTTGGTGACCAAAAATAAAGTTGGAGAAAACCTAGCCGAAGGAAGAAAAAGTAAACAGTGATCAAAAATCGGTAGAGTGGATCGATCCACCCTACTGCATCGATCCTCTGGGAATGTATCTTTTAGTATGGATCGATCAGGAGTACTGATCGATCCACCAAAGTTTTGCTCCAAAAATGCTATTTTTGAGCCATGTGATCTTATTTTTAATACCAATTAATTATGATCAATATAAAGATGATATCTTGATATCAAATTATGTTTTATACAAATAAAATCTTATGTGATGCATGATGGTAAGCTAAGGGTGTTAACACTCGATGCTAGACCGCTATTTATTATTGGGTATTATGATGATTATTATTGATTGATGATTATGATGAGTATTATTGATTGATGATAATGATAATTAAACTTTAATGAATATTTTGATTAAAGTAATGATTATGAATGATTAAATCATGACTAAGAATGGATTTATTGGTGATCATGAAAATGATGTGCATTATTAAGGATATCTAGAAGAACTCAAAGATATACCTATTTGGAAATTGATGATGATTATTAAGGATATCTAGAAGAACTCTAAGATATACCTATTTAACTAATTCTGAAATTTGGGGTTAAAACGTACGTACGAGATCCAAACAAGATATCACCCACACGACAGTTCACTGTTCGGTTGGTACGTGATCAACAAAAATCCCAGGGTATATCATCGATTCTTGTGTTCTGCCTTAAACTATTTATAGTTTAAGAGCCGGTTAGAAATATTGCCTTAGACTAGGAATAGCTAAGAGCTTGTTATAAAAATGTATTAAGCTTAGATTAAGAATAATTTAAGAGCACTGTTGAAATACTAAATATGGAATATTGTATATGTCATGAAATATCTTGAATTAAAATATTGTGATTATAATGAAAGATGAATGATTGAATTGTATATTATGTGCATGATATCAAATGATTTGATTATGAATTGAGATTCAATTTGTATCGATGTTCGATGAATTAAATATGCTCACTCAGCTTTCTCGTTAAGCGTGTAGTATATTTTATTTGCTACACGCAGGTAAACAAAAAGAATGAAGTGATGAATTCCTAGAAAAAGATCGGGCGAGACAACCTATAACTCCCCGAAACATACCCTAAAAGTATTATTGAACTTTTATTCAATTAATCAAATTTGGTTTGATTAAAATAAATTGATATTGGGCTTTGGGTCGAAATGAAATATGTTTTGATATCCAATATCAAAATCTGGATAAATCTCATAGAGATAAATCCAATATGTTGACTTATTGTGTGACTTTGATGGGGAACCTTAGTACAAACCCAGAATAAATGAAGAATTTGTTTGTGATGTGAACTTTAAAATAATTTACTAAAATAAATCATGAAAATAAATGATATGAATTGAATATAAGAACCTTTTTAATAAAAGTCAATTAAATCAATTTTGACTCGGTCAAAATCAAACATCCAAAAATATGATGTCAGAAAAAGTATTACAAATAAATACAAAAATTATATCTTTGAATATAAATCGACTCTCTGATCGCAATGGTGCAAACGAAATTCAATTCGGAGAAAATTGGACCAAAAAGTGTACCCCGGATCGGACCAAAATTAGCCCCAATTAAGGAGCGGCGTGTGAATCTCGCAGAAGTCAATTTTCGTCGTTTGTAGATCGGTTAGTTGATCCCTGACTCAGCATTCTACGTCTTCTTCTCCATCACCTTCCTGTATAAGCAATACTCAACTCACTCCATTCTTCACCATTTCTCACAATATTTCTTCCTATTCTGTTGCCCTGAGTGAGGAGAATGCAGTGGTGCTGTCAATTTGGTGAGAGGTTGCCGGAGTTGGGAGTTATCATCGTCGGAAGTTTCTCCAAAACCTCCGTTAAGCTTCGAGGTAAGCTCGTAGATATATTTAGTGACTAGAATGTTCGTATAGATCGTTTCTACGTTCATAAACGGTCGTTTGGTTGAGTTTTATGTTTGACATGCTTGAAGAACTAAGAATAATAAACCATGAAATTGTTGTTAAAATTATGAATTAATGATACCAAAATGATATATGAACCTTGAGGAACATTTCTATATAGTTTAATTGAAGTTTGGTGATTAAAAATGATATTTCCAAAAAATGGACCAAAGGTTGAAGAAGATGAACAGTGATCGAAAACCTGCAGAGTGGATCGATCCACCCTATTAGATAGATCACCTCTATCTTGGATCGATCTAGAGTGCTGGATCAATCCCCTGAAATTTTGCTCCAAAAATATTTCCGAAAGTGCTATTTTTGAACTCTAAAATCCTATTTTTTATACCAATCAATTATGATTAATATAAAGATGATTTCTTGGAATAAAAATGATGTTTTGACAACTAAAAGGACCTTACGTGATGCATGACGGTAAGCTAGGGTGTTAACACTAGAAGCTAGGCCGCTATTTGTTATTGAATATTGTGATGATTATTACTAATGGATGATTATGACGATGATTATTGATTGATGATTATGATAATTAAACCGCGATGAATATTCTGATTAAAATGATAATTATGAATGATTAAACTATAATGAATATATTGATGATTGTGAAAATAATATGTATTGTTAGGAGTATCTAGAATAACTCTAAGATATACCCAAATGACCATTATAGTTAATTGATATTAATTTTAAGGGCATCTAGAATAACTCTAAGATATACCTAGAGTAATGTTGATTTTGTAGGGTATCTAGAAGAACTCTAAGATATATCCATTTAAGTTAGGCCTTGCGGGTACGATGCCCGGTGGCCAGGGTTAAAACGTACGTACGTGATCCAAGAACCAAACTCGAGTACTTACTCGTTTGGGGGTACCATCCAACCCAACCGTGAACATTACGCTATTGGTTTCTGGTTGACCTTAAGCGAAGGTAAGTTTAAGATTTTGAAAACCTTTTTTGAAAATTTGTATCTTAAACTAGGACTAGCTTAAGAGTTATTTATGAGTACCTTAAACTGGAATATAGTTTAAGAAACTTAAACTAGAATTCGTTTAATAGTTGGTAAATATTAAAGAGATTGGCCTTGTGTGTTGCGTCATGCAACACACAAGGTCTTAGGATTAATCCGTGACTCGAATTGGAACAAATAAACAAAAAACAGGTTGGATATTGTTTGATAGGGTATCTTGGTATTGTTTCACGATACCTTGGTACCGTCTGGTTTGCGGCAAAAGTTCCTCAGTGGCAGTATCGGTCGACCGTTGGATAGTAGGACCCTACCGCTGACCGACAAACACTAGAGACCAGAGACGACTTTTTAACCGAAACTTCATCAACTAATTTATTCTAATATTCATGGATCTACTAATACACAAATCACATAATTAGAGTAAGAAATCATACATCGACTCTTTTTCATCATTTAATCAATTTATTTTTTTAAAAAATCACAATTAAATGATAAAATAAAATAATTCACATAACAAATCTACGATTGGCTATGTATACGAATTAGTGCTATCTATGAATTCTATGCTTGAACAAACCCACAAACTCACCTCGATTATTTAGACAAACTAAGGAGGGTGTATTCAACCATGACTCTGATGGATTTTTTTGGATTTTGAAAATATATAAGTATTCAATTCAGATTTTAAAATGTCATTTAAAATCCAGGTGTATTCATTTCAGATTTTTGAAAATCTTTCTAAATATGATGGTATTCAAAAATTGATAGATTTCTAAAGATTTTTAAAATTATGGATTTTGTTGGATTTTTAAGCCTAAGATATAAATATAAATCCATTCCCAAATCTCACCCAAAAGCTAAAGATTTTGACAAGTCTTTCACCTAATCTCCTTCATCCTCTCCGTCTTCTTCTCCCGCAGGTGCAAGCAACCTTCATCACCGACTACTCCACTTCTCCCAGTGCTCAACCTTCTCCACTCCTCCCAGTTTCATTGCCGACCTTCTCCAGTGCTCAACCTTCAACCCTCAACAGTTCCTTTTTTCAACTCTTCATAGAATTTAATTGCTCTCTTTTTCTATTCATAGATCTCTCTTCACGTATGACACAATAATATTTCCATTCCTTTATGGCTACAAAGTATAATTTTGCATCTCGATGGGGCTTACTAGTAAATTACAGAGTACTATTGTGCAAGTAGAGGTAGGGTTACTGGGACTTTACAAATTGAGGCTTGTTGATGGGACTCTCTTCACATATCTCCACATTACTAGTACTTTACTTGTTGATGGGGCTTTTTTTTTTACCAATGTTGGGGCTTTAGAAATGGGGATGAAAGCGGATGAAGAAGTTTTTTTTGGTGAATTTCTGTTTTGATTTTCGAAATGAAAGGAAGCCTATCCGAATTCATTTTTTCAGGAATCTCTTTTTGCATATATGGATGGTCAATTAGTTAGATAGAATCCTATAATCCATAGACTTTAAACAATCTATCGAAATCTTTTAGAATCGTGATTGAATACCTGGCTGATAAAATACATTAAAATCTTTCAAACTCTACATAGACTTAAAATAATTCATTCATTTTACATAATTCATAGACTTTAAACAATTTATTGAAATCTTTCAGAATACACCCCTAAATGAATCAAACGGTTCACACAACGAAACCAGCGGTCAAATTCTCTCTTTTTTCTTTTTCCCTTGCAATCAGCTAATACTCCGTATTCGTTTTCTTTCTTTTTTCTTTGTTTCTTGTGTGCAGCATACAGATGTGTATCCATATAATAGGGGATTTGGGGTGTTTTCTTGCGTGTAGGTTTAGTTTTTGGAAATTTATTATTTTATTATTATAATATTTTAAAATCTTTATATTTCTTTGTTGATCTGTAATATCTACTTTACTCATCACGCTTTACACGTAGTCCAAACTAAACAAATTATATACCGTTGGTCACCATTTTACTATATCTACCTAAAAACCTAATTTTTAAATAAAAAGGTCAACTTTACAAATAGTTTTTTCATTTTTATGTCAGAAAATAATATACTTATTTTTATTAAAAATCTCAGATAACTACTAAGGCGGTTTTTGAGGCATTACAAAGGATCCTCATCAACCCTTTCAGGGAGCAATTGAGGTTTCTCCACATCATCAACCTCCAAAGTCAGAGACTCAGAATCTTTTTAGGAGTCGGGTTAGAGAACCCGTCATCATCCTCTCCTTCTTCAGAGTCTGGAACAATGAATGCATCATCATCATCATCCCATTCTTTAGAATATAGAATAATGAATGCGTCATCATCATCCCCTTCTTCAGAATCTGAAACAACCAACCCCTCATCATTGTCCTCATCTTCCGAATCAGGAATAATCTCATCGTCATCATTGCCAATGTATTCAGAATCTCATAGATTCACCTCCTCATCATGGTTCTCTTCTTTGGAATCTAGATTAATCACATCTCTATCAGCATCATGCATTTCACCATCCTCTAAATGATCTTCGAGGGTAGGAACTTCATCGTCCCCAGCAAAGGGCGAATCACCTGCTTTGAAGACGGTCACACCATCCATGGAGAGGGTTTTCTTCTCACACTGTGTTTCTGGGATGAAGGAGGTAAATTCGTGACCTAAATACATGTTAGGTCCACTCCCCATCTCTAGATCAGGGGTTTCTGTGAAAAGAAGATATGCTTTTAAGGAGAGTGAGAGGTGATGGATCAGAGATGTAGACGAGGACGAGTGAGAAGGTGATTGGATCGGAGACGTAGAGAAGGGAGGTTGAGAAGGTGAAGGATCGGCGATGGAGACGAGGAAAAATGAGAAGCTAGGAATCGGCAATGGAGACGATGAAGAGTGAAGATAAAATAATATGTGAAAGAGTGAGATGATGGAAAGATTTTAATCTGGGTGAACGGAAAAGTTGCAATACGGGTGAAGTGGGTCGGAGAATTGAATGAAGTGGAGGGAGTAAGAAAGGGTAAAGATGGAAAATTAATTATTTTTTCATTGCCAAATTAGGAAAATGAACAAATATTAAGGGATAACCAAAAACAGAATACAGGGGACGGAGGGGGCATTAATTTAAGTACTAAGTAGTACTATGTTCCTAGCTTGCTGCATATGAAATAGGCCAGTCAACTTAAATATATTTTTGGTGCCTTCTCCCTTCTGTCAGTTCTATGCATGCAATTGTAGGATTCATCATTCATAGACGAAGCTTCAGTTTCATTTTATGTACCTAGTCTTTTTTTATTCTTCCTTTTTGTTACATAGAACATTTATTTAAAATATATGGAAACTGCCAAATTGATTAGTGATTAGAAAGTAAAATTAAGAAAGGGTCTTATTCGGTCCGTTCCGAGCCGGTTCGAGTATTACCGGTCGGATCCCGGTCCGGTCTTAAGAGAATACTCTTATTCAATCACAGTCCGGTCCCGGGCTGGTCAGGTTTGGACCGATGGACACCCCTAGTAAGAGCCTTCCTTTTCAATTTGGAGGAGACCTGAAGGGTAGCTTCATTTATCTTCTACAGTATGTTTCAAGAGAAAATTATGGAAACAAAAGTAAGGACTTATATTAAGGAGCACTATATGTACAAGAGTATCGAACATGATAGATCATTATTACCATGCTCAACAAATCTTAGGCATAAATAAAAAGTCATATATACGAGCATTTAACTACTACGGAGTGGCAAATAATTTTACTGGTCTTCACTCTTCAGCAGTGAAATCTGGCTCCGCTGGCTTCTGAAGCAGCATGGGCGATATTCTCTCAGGCATCATCATCATCCTGGCTTTCTTGGTACCATTGCGGCGTAATGCACGAAGAGCATTGGCAGCAAATCGCGATGCGTAGATTGTCGCCCCCAAACTTGGCGAATTGCTGCTGCATGCCTTTGCTAATGCATCTTGCAACCTATCTTCTTCCTCGCGCAGGGACTCTTCTAGTTTCTTCCTGCAATAGCGCCGCCAGGCTGCTTGTATGAAGCAGGCAGCCCAGGACCTCCACTGCTGTGAATAGAGCCTGAAAGTGTGGCGAATCTGCTTACTGTGGAGTCGCCTGAACTGAGAGGCTACAAACTTCAGATCAGCAGCCATTAAAGCAAATGCTTCCACTTCTTCAAGAGCTTGAACAGTTCGGGTTGAGATGGGGAGGTTCGAAGATGAATGGGGGTCCAGAGCCCACGTCAGGAGCTCTTCCCCACAAAAGTCACCTGCTTTTAGATAATCCGAGTTAAAGAACCCAGTCCTGCCCCCATTAGTGGTCACAGAATACAGTTTGCCGCGTATCACAAAAAGCATCTCGTCAACCGGGTCGCCTTCACGAACAATAAAGCTATCCTCGGTGTACAGTACTGGCTTCAGACGGTCACACATCGCGTCCAAGAGTTGGTCATCCATTTTCTCAAACATTGGCACCTTCAAAATTTGTAGACAGCTATAAGTTTCAACGTTAAATTTGACAAAACAAAGAAGCAAGGCAAAAAACCACAAGCTAAACACTTGCTCTCATAAGCAAAGCCAAACAAAGGTGGTGCTTTATGTCTCTTCTGAGGTCCTTGGGAAGGCTGCGAATCAAATTTTCTTCATCAACGCCCCTAGTTTGCTGCCATTTGTATTGTTCATACCGTCTTATCCTCTCTCGAAGGTTCTCAGGGAGCAAACGATGAGACATCCACTGCTCTGCATCTCGCCTCTTCACTCTCATTTCCTCTAGCCTTATAGTGGTTGACTGCAAATATGTCTGTTAAACCAGAAAAAAAATATCAAATTGATTTGACATCGTAATGACTCTTTTCTACTAAAGATTAAATTACCATCTTTTCAGGTACTAGCATGATTTTCACTGAGAAAGTAAAGTAAATGCTACTGTCGTTACATCATTCAAAGCATTCCTAATCTAAATAGATAAATCCCCCCCCCCCCCTGTGAAGAGTATTACTTGCATATTTCCAATGAGAAAGGAAAATAGCACCAGCCCAGCTATGGATATGAAAACAGCAAAGCAAATTTCCCAGATAAAGGTGCTTGTCTTGAGGTTCTGACCAAGTGAACTACAAATACACGAGGATAAAAATCACATGTCATATAATGAAGAATTGAAGTTACACACACAATTAACACACATTTGATCATGAAACATATGAAAGGTACATAAATGAGCACTTGTTTCATTTTAAGGCACTACACTACCAAAAGTCAAGAGGATGAACATCAATGATACATACTGTCTGACATATAACTAATAACATAACATACGAAAGCCAGGTTTGCTTTCAAAATGTGAAAAGTATATGATGCACTCCGTGGGATAGAAGTATATGTAACACCAGCAAGACTGGAAGGAGTAAAGTGCATGTGGGAGCTCTGAGGGTGGTGGAAGGCAGCACAAGATTGGAAATTAATTCCTTATTCCCCAACTAGTTTCCTATGATTACTTTGTTAGTAGTTTAGTAATAACTCCCTACATCCCTATATCATTTCCCTACTGACCTTATACATTTCAAAATACAGTTTAGATTGTGTGGTGGAGATTTACGTATAAGAAAGATATACATCACCTACCGAAGAATCATTTCCTTAAAACAAAAATATGGATAACTTTGGGGCAAATGAGAAAGAAAAATCGAAGACAAAAGAGGGAGAGAGAGTATTTCCATGAAGGGTTAAATTAGCTTTAGGTCCCGTTTGGTACATGGAATTCAAAATATGGAATTGGAATTGGGGACTTCAATTCCAATTCTGGTGTTTGGTAGCACAAAAATTATGTGGATTTGGAATTGATTGTGCAAAAAATGAATTGGAATTGACAGAATTCAATTCTATGGAATTGAATCCCATGGAATTTCAATTCCAATTCAATTCCAATTCCACCAATTCCGTATACCAAACGGACCCTTAGAGACTTTTTCTCATTTATGTTTGGGACTCTTGTCATATTCATTGTAAGTAGGAGTGGCCACGGTACCAGTCTGGTTTTGGGAATGCCGGTTCTTGGTTGGGCAGAACCATGACAAGTATTGGTAGGGGGAGTTCCGGACCGTTCTGTAAGGGTTCCGATTTTATTTTATTTTTAATTTTGTTTAGGAAAAGATGTTACTTTGTTTTCAAATATTGTGAATCAACCTAAACAAATTGAGAATAAGCTCCAAAAAAACAAAAAAAATGGAACTGGAACAAGGACCGCTGGTTCTGGTTCCCAGAACTGAGGAACCCAAACCTAAACCCATACTCGCCGGTTCCCGGTTCTTGTTACAAAACCCTTCCCACCGGTCCGGTTCTTGAATCCTAGGTTCCAGTGGTTCTGGTTTGTGTGTGTATGGCATTGCATTTCTTATTGTTTATAGGAGTTTATTAAAGGAAGCTGCAAGACCTCGTCTATGAAGATTCCATCAAAGGCAAAGAAGACACCTTCTCTGACAATAGGAAAACTAAAGAGGCTCTTTTTTTCTTCTAGAAATGCAATGCCATACACACATAAACATAAATGCCACTACACAAAGCAATTACTCCCTTTGTCCCTAACACTATGTTTGGTTCACGAAATTGGGAAGGAAAGGAAAAGAAAGTCAAAGAAACAAAGAATCCTAATTTTGTTCGGTTAGTAGAGAAATTGGTAAGGAAAATACTTTTTAATAACTCCTTCGTCTGGGTGTTATAGAGAAAACGAAGGAAGAAATGGTTGAGAGGGAAGTGGAGGGAGGGAGGGCAGTGGCAGTGGACAGCCGGGGCGAGGGAGGGGTGGGATAAAGGAGTTTGCTGCTATCTAACTTTTCCTCTTAACAATGGAAGGAAAATCTTTTTCTGTTTTTACTTTACATTTTCCTCACCTTTTCTTTTCTTTTCCTTTCTAACCAATTTCCTTACCATTTTTTTCTTTTCCATACTGAATTTCTTGAACCAAACAGTGTTATTAAACTTCACTTTTACTATTTACACGCTAAAACTATGTCTTCTTTCCTTGCTAATTTGCTTCAACTATTTTTATAATAAAATAGTGAAGTCAAATCTTTTATAGAACTTTTGGTGTAATTTTAAATATATCGATATATTCTTTTTTATTCTAAATTGAAATAACATCAATCAAATATCTTAAACAGTTAAACCAAGTGTGAAGTTTATTTAGGGTTGTAGGGAGTAATAGGAAAAACCTGGAGACTGTATACCTTAGGTTTTGCAGGCCCCACCAGAAGCAATAAAAAAACTTTTGAAGGAAATCTCCTGACTCTACAACACCAGATTGAAGAGCATCAAGGAATATGCCAAAATTAAATTCTGATGTGTCTGGTGGGTCTATAGGGCAAGACGTGTTAAGAAGTGTTCTAAAAGCAGTGTGGTCATCACTACAATAAAGAAAGGCATGACGACACTTAGATGAATTGCCACAAGCTCTTTGCCAACAAGTGATTTCACGTTCTATAGAGAACAGATACCAAAATGCTCCAAGTACCTGGAAAGAATCATATTATCTTGATGTCAAAAAAGGTGACACCAATTAAAAAACTGATAATCTATGATAACTCAGTTGATGGAATGCTCCAATAATGTTGTTCCAATTACTACCATTAATGGATAATAACGAAAAGAGTTACTAATTAATTAAACACATTGAAATGTAACAGATGCATGTCCATAGTGTGCATGCATGGTTCTATGCATCATCATAAATTCGTCTTGGATGTTAGCTATCTGAACAGTATCTTGCATCATGTAATTCAATCAA